TTTTTATTAGACCATTAAGAAATTTTCGTGATTTTTTTAAGCAAATGTTTGAAAAACGATATCAAAACAGAAATAAATAAGTAAATACATTATTTATTCACATAAGTACTATATTTTTCAATGACTGGCAGCTATAGTGAAGAAGTTCTTTGCACAATTTGATTCAGTTGTGAAGGTGTTACAAAGATGTTTTATGATAGCTTCCACAGATAAATTTCAGGCTATTCATGAATTTGGAAATGGTTTACATAGATTAAAATGTCATAGGGCAAGGTCAGGTGAATATGGTGGATGAACCAAAACATGCTAGCCATACTCAACAAGCTGAATCTCTGCTAACATTCATTCAAACCCATGGAAAACAGAGCAAATTTCTGATGAAAGACAAACATAAATAAATCAGTTCTGGACACTTGCTGTTGATTTCTGCTTTAAGAAATGTCATCTGTGAACAATAAATTATTTCTTTTAACTGAAGTGGCAATAATGGATAGTAAATAATTCCTTTACAGTCTTCCCATATAATGAGTCTTTGGGTTATTCCATGATTTTGTTTTCACAACATTATTGCATAGTATTAATTTTGTATCTCCAGTGAACAGCCATTTAAAACAAACATGGTTCTACATTTTGTTTCAAAAGACAATCGCATGTCAAAATCCGAATAAGCATATTCTGCTTTCTAAAAGTATGAGGTACCTACACGTTATAGCAGCTTCTTCAGACAATCATATACTATGATTTTGGACTATTTAATCTGTCTCCTAGCTCTGTGAACTGTATATTAGGAATTTTCATGACCAGTTTCTTTTAGAAGGTCATTGTTTATAGAAGGAAGACATAATTTTTTAGACTGAAATTTTCCTGCTTAAACTTCGCAAGCCATCTTCAAACTGCATGATCACAAATAGCTCTTTGTCTACATATTATACAAAATTTACAAGGCATTCTATCTGGAATTTTTTTCCTTATTTGAAATAAAAGGGCATAGTATAAGGAGAGTGAACTGTTTAATCCTTCATTTTTAGCACTGTGTGGAAACAAAAGTAATGTTTTGATAGGAAAACATAATGTGAGAAGAAATACACATTCTTGTATATTACATATACTATAAAAATTTCATCATAACTTACCATTTAAAACCGTAGAATTATCATGTAAATAGGAGCTATAGTCAACTAACAATAAATCTTCAAAGTCCATGAAATCTTTAATACGCCCAGATACAGCAGCAGTTCCATTAAATCCCCACCAATTATATGTTGCATTGATTGAGAATTCTTGAATTTCCCCTTGAATTCTGTGAAAGCAACATAGATAGATTTTTTTTCCTTCTCTTATTAGTGTCACTGAATATAATTAAAAAGATGTCTACAAATAAGTAATACTGTGTGTCACTTTATAGTAAAATCTGTAACATTATATAAAGGATTCATATAAATATATGAATTTATATAAAAGATGAAAGTTATAAGAGATTTATATAAAAAGATTCATTAAAATATTCATATGAGTTTAAATTTTCTTTGGAATGGAATAAAAATATCATCAATTTTATTAACGATATGGGAAATATGATTTTCGTTATTCTGAAATATGTAAAAAATCATTTCATATAAACTGGTTGGACAATGAAACTGAAACACTGAAAAATATAATGTGTGCTGAGTTAATGTTAATCCATATATTCACTTTCAATATTCATACATTTTGTAAATGAATTATAAGAGCTAAATGTAAAATTTGGAATAGTATAGTAGCAGCAGTGCTACATGAGAAATAGTACATAACAGAAAATATACATAATAGAAAATAAACAGATGGAAAAAGAAATTACTAATATACAATTATTCAATATGTATCAGTGCATCATGATCAAACCAGCATCATCTTAGCAACATATTGAGATTTAAGCTGTTCAAGTGTATGGGGCTTAAGAAGATAGATACATCCAGATATGAATAAAAATGATGATAAAGAAATGCAAACCACTACTATGATCATTATTGCTGAAAAAGTTAATATGAATCTTAAATTACTACTTTGCACAAAACTCTTCACTGAATGCTTTAAAAAATTTGCATTCATCTTTGGGTCGCTAAAAGCAAAATAAAAAAAAGTGGGGGATGCCCAAATACATGCTTAATTTCCAATTTAATGACTTCAACTAAAAAATTCAGATGGATGATGTGAAATATATAACTCTGATGAACCTTCATTGTTTCTTCATATCCAAAAAAGTAAACATTTGAAGGTCTGTGTTTCAGGCTTACCATCCATGCCATTTCGGCAATAGAATTTTTACTTACAGATGAATAAATGATGGTTTTGACCATCTTATTTTGGCTTTCTCTAAACTTTCTCACATTCTTGATGGGCACATCTCTGCCAAAGACTAACGGCAATTCTAGAGGAGCGCTTACAATGATATAAAAATATTGTACCCTGAAGTTTGTCTATTTTATCAGGATGATAATGCAAAAATATATAATTAAAATTTGTGACAGGATCATTTAATGAACATGAAAATTAGAATGAATATTTGCTGTGGCTTGCACAATTTTGTTATCTGAATTTTATTGAGGTCTGTGGTGTTGAGACATTGTTCTGTGAGAAACATGAAAATAATAGCTCAAAATCTAAGGTTACTATACAGGATTTCATTTTATCTTTCCCAAGATGAATGGATGCTACATTATTCAGAAAACTACAACAAACTGATAAATTAATTAGTTTCAATAATTACTGAGTGCAAGAATTTCTGTTTCATTGTCCAATTACTTTTAGTGTAAGCTTAATTTCAAAAATTACATTGAATATAATACATATATAATTAATAAATTAATTAACAAGAAATAATATTCTATGCATTAAGTAAATCAGTTAATAAGCAACAGTATCCTTATTAGCTAAGTAAATCAGCTAATAAGCAACAGTATCCTTATTAGCTAAGTAAATCAGCTAATAAGAAACACTATTCATTTAATGTGAGCCTTACAGTGTTCGATTCCGTGCTGCGAGTTCAAAATCATTGTCAGGATTGACAAGATAATTGAAATTAAATCTCTGCCCTGCTTTGTTTGCTACTATAGTGCTTCTGTCCCAATAATCAGTAGCTCTATTTCTCCAAAACCAATTTCTTGTGCATGTCTGGTATGACAATGGTACACGTTCAAAGCCCTGCACATCAGCTAGATGCCTCCCTGTGTTATTGTATGCCATATTTTCAGTAAGATTTGACATAACCTGGAAAAGAGATGTCAAGAAACAAGTTAAAAACATATTCCTTTAGTCACATACTTACAGAATGATAATAACATAAACAAATAAGATTACTAATATATTTGAGTATTAATTATGCCAATTCAATGTAGTTTTGTAACTAATTCTATGTAATTTAAATTACATCTTGTATTAAATTTGTAATTAAATTAATTATTTCACAAGGTATAAGAAAGCCAAAAGCACAGTATCATAATCCAAAATGCTGACAGTTGGTTCGGAAAATGTTATGGATAAACTCCATCATCGCAAGGTTAAAATTTGGAGACAGCATATCTGTACAGCTCCCCCTCCCAAATTGAACTGAAATTTTTTCTTCTTTGCTTTGTGAGTTTCAGTTATATAAAATAAAATGTTTAATAATAATAAATTTAATAGTAATAATATTATTAATCATGCTGCGTGGGTATAAGTTCGTAATAGATTGAATGCACACAGGTCCGATGATATGTTGATAAAGTTTACTTTATCAAAAGAGACAGTTCACAGTTTTAGAACTTTCCACAAAAACAATCGTAAAACTCTTCATAGTATCACTGAATACAGTCAGTAGTTACACTTCAAACTACTAAGAGTGTTTAACGCAATGCAAAGTATATCTAAAGTGCAAAGCTAACCCGGAGATATCTCAGTACACTGAACAGACAACTGCAATTAAAAAATGATGCTTTCCATGACCTTATATACTTTTCCACCCGGCCACCAAAATATTTCTAGTACTACATTCTGCTTCCCAAATTTAGGCAGACAAAGTAGACAAGGACCGAGTTACAGCTACATAAAGGATGAATTACAGTTATTCAATTACAATACTCACTACAGTAATACAGGAACTGGACCAAAATATCACCAAGTACTCACAAGTTTGGCCATTTATCACCAAATTTAGTGACAAAAATTATACGGCAAGCTGTTAACGGTCACCAAACCGTTAACAGCTTGGCGATATCTCGCCAAATTAGGGAAATAGCCACTTAATGTTAAATGGACTTGCTCCTGTATTCTTATTTTTCCGGCGAGGCATCGTCTCTCCAGATTTTCATGTTACATTATGCAGAAAAATACAACAATCTGACATATAATTGTACTAAAATCATCTATCTGTGCACAAAAGTCGCAACAACAATAACTAATTAAAATGTTACATATTGGCATACAAAATGAATGGATAATTTAGAAAACATTATCTGAGATATACGGAAAAGAAATTTTTGTACTATACAAACTTTATCAGAGATGAACAACAAAGTTTTACACAGGAAACATAATTTATTCACAAAATTTTAATTAAATCTCTGCATATATCTCTGCAATGAAATCATTCTCAATTTCCTGAATGAAAAAGCAATTTCAATAAAAAGTGTTATTGGAAAAGAAAAAGACGGTGCTTATGTTATGAGTGGTGTTTGCCTTCAGCAAAAGATAAAATCTATTCAGCCAAATCCCAAATGCAAAATATGTACACTGCTTGCTTCACAACTTAAACCTAATCATTAATGACGCTTTAAGTGCTTGTAAAGGATTTTCATATGTTACAAAATATATGTTTATTCTGTGTGGAAAATATAAAATTGAATGAAAAAGCAATTTCAATAAAAAGTGTTATGGAAAAGAAAAAAACGGCGCTTATGTTATGAGCGGTGTTGGCCTTCAGAGCGGTGTTGGCCTGTAATTTTAGTGTTAATAAATTTTGTTTCAAATAATCTTAACTGCTTAAAAATATTAAATAAAACTCAATTATTTAACTAAAATGGGTTTTCAATTTATAATTATCTATGCTAATATGACAATTGGTATGTAATAAATAATGTGTGTTTAAGTTTTGTCTAACGGCTCACAATTTCTATCTATGACACTGCCTTGTATATACAAGGACTTAAAAAATAAAAGAATTCACCGATGATTCCATATTTGGCGCAAGATTAAAAAGCAATAATAACGCCTAATCTGGATATCATGTTTGTGCCATTCAGATTTTCTTTAATAGTGTATACTTTTGGGACTATTTCATTTATCAATGGAATTTTAACGGACTGACTGTATAAAATTGTTTAGGATAATAATAATTTTTTATTTTATTTATTTAGTTTTATTTTTATTTATTTATTCATTTATTTTGGTAAATCTGGTCCTAATTTTGTATTAAGAGTGTAACTACACCTCAAAAAGAGTTTACCATTACTTTTGAATTCATAATTGCAAATCCACGATCGCAAAAATGAAGATCCGCAATCGAAAAAAACTTTACGAAAATTAAACAAATGTAGTAGTTCTAAGCATGGCATGTGGAACTGTTTCTGTGTCACCCTAAGGGAATTAAAATACAGTAATTATCATCTTATGAAATTTAAGTTTTTAAATTTCTAGAACACTTGAAAAACTATTGAAAAAAACCTACAGTGATGCCATGTATAATGAACATAATCCATTCTACGACGGCATTCGTTATGTGAACAATATTGGTAACTGTTTCCAATAGGTTATTATGGGAATAATTTTAATCCCTTTTCCCTAAGCTTAGACCAAAATCATGAACCATTGTAAAAAGAAATCACCAACTATCAAAAGTATCTAGTGTTGGGGATATGCTAATTCACGGAATGCTTTATTATAACTTATTCATTAGTTATAATAAATATATTCATACATAATGCATATATTTAAGCTGTCCTTTCCCTTCCTGCATATCTGCTTTTGATATATATATATATATATGAGATAAACAATATGAAAACAAACTTCTAAATTTAATTGGCTATAACCTCTTTATTTAATTTGGGGACTTCCCCTCTTTAACTTAAAAATAACGCTATAAGTCTAAACTGCGTCATTCAAATTAATCATGCGATCCTACCAAACGCTTAATACAGATACCTCTTACCCAATCCAATAATTGTAAACCAAAACTTTCTGACTCGAACTGAAACCTTTGGCTTCTTCCTTTGAATTGCGGCGTCCACTCTTTCGCTTACGCTTTCAACTTGGCAAGACGCTGCTGCGATTATGTTCATCTCAGTTTATTGGGATGCCATTGGTCTGTGTGTGGACCTGGTCCTCTTCCACTTGTCAGCGGCCGAGCGGTAAAGTCGCTGAACACTGGTAGTTCAGTCCGAGGTTCGAATCCCACGAACGGGCTGGCTGCATGGGTGTTTTCGTGGTTTTCCCCATGTGTAACGTGTATACGAGCCAGTTTCCCTTAGAAAGTCCTCCACGAAAGGCATCCCTCCTCTTAGGCAGATAGCCCTAGTGTGCTTTGCCATAATTAAATACACCACACCATCTTCCACTTGTAACTGAGTGAATTTTCGCGTTAAAAAAGTAGAATCAATTTAATTTTCATTTCATTGAAAATCTTTGATGATTACAGTGGGCAAGAACGCTTTGCATTCTCCTTGTTATCACCCGAAGATGGTCTTTGATACTATGGCGATAGAAGCGAGCATAGATGATCTATGCTCGCTTCTATCGCCATAGTATCAAAGATGCAAATGTTCTGTAAATAGGCACGATTGGAATGCCAAATGAATTGTGGCCACAAATGTGAACTTAAATAAAAATGGAAATTAATCTAGCTCGACTTGCTCCTCTTTAATATGAATCAAGTATCTACGCTAAACAGCATTGCTACGCTTTTACGTCTCAGTGTTCTAACATCAGTGCTTCCAAAATTGTGCTATCATCACATATATATATATACTATATGTAATGATAATCCCTTTTCCTGGAGTCTGTGTTTCAGGTAGTTTAAAAGTTGTCTGAAGTGGTCTCATTCTTCTTAATTATGGTTTATAAATTAAATGACACCATTACTAAATAGATCTGCGATTCTGTTCATCTCAGTTTATTAGGATGCCATTGGTCTGTGTGTGGACCTGGTCCTCTTCCACTTGTAACTAAGTGAATTTTCGCGTTAAAAAAGTAGAATCAGTTTAATTTTCATTTCATTGAAAATCTTTGATGATTACAGTGGGCAAGAACGTTTTGTATTCTCCTTGTTATCACCCGAAAAATTGTCTTTCTGTTCAAAAAGAGCTTACAAATCTTCAGTGGCGATATGATACTAACAAAAATATTTATTAGTTTTCTCCTTTAATACTAATTATCTTTGCTTAGGCGCAGGTCAGATTTTGTATTTATGTGCCATTGAAACAGGAAGTGAAACAAATTTAGCTCCACATTTAATGTGCAATGAAAAGTGGGCGTGATTCTTATCGGAGAAACCGATTTCATTATGCGCAACAATTTTCGGCCCATGCTCGCGTTTGTTTTGAGAGGCACCATTATTCGAGTAAAGTCAGCTGCTATCTTCAGTAATTATGCACCTCTCACTGAAGCTTTACTTATTTGAATAACATTGCATTTGTTCTGCTTTGGACTTTTAGAAACAGATTTCCCTATACATTAAAGTTGCTACAAGTATACTTAGAAGATAACTGCCCAGAGAAATGCTTTCAGAAATCTGTGTGAAAATTGAAAGTTATGATACACATAACGATACTGAACAGTTAATTAAGGAGAAGCAAGGACTTGAGACAATTTATTAGTTATTTAAAAAACAACAATTGATCCTATTACAATTTTAATTACATGTTTTGTGTTAGACTTATTAATTGTTTAGTTTTTTAAACTATTAGAATTTAAATAACTTTATAATTATAATCTTAAAACAATGTGCTTATAATTAATGCAAAGTAGAATAATTAAGTAATACAGAGGAAACATATTGATATTAAATCAAGTTAATCTGTTTCCATGCATATGAAATGATGAGTTTAGGTTGACATGCTGAATATCTTTGTAACAATACTTTGATATATATCTATAATCTTACATGCCCCTGCTGTATACACCTACAGTACACATAGTGTAATTAATGACATTTACATGCCTTGGGAATTAAACCTTCTCATTTTATTGTGATACAGACTTACTGCGGCAGAGTGGAATCGAATCCTTGAAATCTTATGGCTTTCATTTACATTTAAGAAAAACAGCCTGATAGGACAAAATTCATGATTATTTAATTTAACAATAAAATAAGTATATTAAGAGAGCATCAAAATTTTGAGTTTTCAGTATTATTCAAAGCAAATATGAGGGTATCCAAAAAATAAATTTCGTTAGCAAATAACCATCACTGCAGCAGTACATTCACATTTATGCGCTTGTGCAGTGAAATCCTCAATCTATTAGCAAGCCATACTGTGCATCCTCTTACGCGTTGAAATTGTCCAAATTAATCAAAAACCCCTCCGTTTTAAAATTATCATTACTTGAATTCAAGGATGTGAAACCAGAAATTTTTATTCTCAACAGTGTAAGGTGTGTAGGAAAAATGTCGTGAGTGATATAATAGTATTGAGAGTTTATTAAGGCATTCCAGTGGGAATATTAAGGGCAACTTAAGATTTAAAAATATGAGCGAATTTCATCCTTTTTTGCATCTGAAATCAACATATGGTAGCTAGGATTTTTTTGCCACCAGTACTGCTTGTCTTATCAGTCTCAAACACAATTGTAAATGTTAAAAGAGCCATTTACTATTGCAATTGAGACAATTGAGTGCCCTATGTTTTGGCATGCGATGTATCTATTTCTTTTATGCAATAATAATGTGAAATCGAAAGGCATTGATCATTAATTTTGTGTGGTTATGGAGTGGGAGGATGTCATGATTGTTGGAATGGTAAGGAAAGTTTAAGGAATTATCACATTACCTCATACGTACTGTCCGGGTATAAGTGGTTAGCATGTCCAGCTAACAAAGTGAAAATCGATGGTTCGAATTCTTACAACCTCACACTTGAGTTTTCCTGCTTATTGCTACAAAAAGTTTCACAGTCTGTAGAGTTACGCCCGAATTAAAAAGTCTAGAGTTACGCCCGAACTGCGGTGGACAATAACTCCTCCCCATCTGAATTTAGATGACTGGTTCTCGTGCTTTTGTTCATTGCCCTTTAAATGGGGTAGAATATAAGGAATATCACATTCTTCTGTGCATGCTTTCGTGGCGTAAATGGTTAGCATGTCCAGCTACGAAATTCTAAATCTGCGATTCGAATCTTAGCGAGGATATGAATGATCTTTCTTGTTTCTTCCTCCTAAAATTTTAAGCTGTATCATCATGGGATTCCGGTAGGAGAATACTGACCATCACCTAATAGACATAAATCGCGAAGAATTGAATGCTTTATGTCTTTCTGCATTTGAAATTGGTGGCTGGGAATTTCTCAACAATGAGTGTGTCCAAAGGGCCATTTGGGTTAACCATTATTCTATGACGTGGAGGAAATACAAACTGGTACCATAAACGACAATTGTCGGAAACTGGATAAAGTAACTTAGAAGATGCAGTATCTAATGAAAATAAACCAATTAAAAATCAGGTTAACTCCCAGTTGTTATTTACTTTTGGATACCCTAAGAATAAAGACATAGATAGAAAAGAAGGAACAATACTCACTTGAGATACTACTATTATGTCTCTGAAATAGGCATAATTCCTTGTGAAGTAATTGCGCAAAATTGTGATGTATTGAAATGTTCCCGACTTCCTTCCTTGTAAATTCAGTACTTCTCTGTTCTTGTTTTCTGTGAAAAGATTATTCACGATCATTCCATTCAGTGCCGAAACAGCAGACTGGGAGTTGACGCGCAGAGTAAGTCCACCTTGGTTCTTCATAATGAGATTATTATAGAAATATAGTCCTTTAGTATTCTGTATATCTAATAACACTGCGCTGTCTGCAGTAGTGAAGTTTCCAAACAATTCTTGCCCATTTTGAATAATGCGGTTATATCTCAAAGTAATCGCAGGTGTAATTTCCCCAGCACTTCTGTAAGCAATGCCTTCACGACCGTTGTGAGATATTTCAGAGTACGAGATGTTATGCTGAGAATCTCGAGCTGTAAATTGAATTAAAATTAGTTTTAAAAATTCATAAACTTTAAATTACATAATTGCAGCTTTACTCTAGACTATAATATTATAGATTATTATTAATTAAGACTGCATTTGTCGAATTATGACAAAGCACGAAGGCTATATAACTAGGAAAGACCTTTAGTTCATCAAATATTGATTATAGACGTATATAAGGTAAACCAATAGAGTTTGGAGAACGAAATTGCAAGTTATGCATACATGGTAATAAGTGAACGATGAAGTGTGGAGATGGTACTCCATAATTTGAAGATGCCTGAGCATGGCATCATAATAATAAGCACGACGTATTATCTGTATCACGACACTCTAATATGCAAAGGTAAAGTATTAGCTGTAAAACGGAGCAATGACCGAATTTAAGGTAATGTTTCAGGTTTAGTGCATATGTGAAAGGAAGTCATGGCATAATGGAAAAAGATTTCTGAGATAAAGCTGTATCTTTTAAGTGCAATTTAACGTTATCAAGATGGCTGAAACTCCATTGAAGATACTGCTTAAAATAGAGGTGTACGGCTACTCGTAGTGAAGAAAACATTGAAAAAGTGAAGAAGACGTTAGCTAGAAAAAGCAGCAAAAAGCGCTAATATGTACAAGTATGCTTTGGTAAATTTATTGCAATGGATCCATCCTGTACATTCAGAAAGCACTGAGGCAGGCATTCAGTTCTTTCTCCGTGATAGTACTTGGCCATATTGAGCCTTTAACGTGGAGCAGCCTGTTGATAAGCTGTAGCTCTCAATCATCCACCATACTACCTGATGTTGCTTCAGCAGACTTCTTTGCATTCCCAAACCTAAAATGAAAGCGATTTTCGAAAATTCCACGCGTTCAAAGCCACGTGACGAGGTTTCTCCACGCAATACTGAAAGAGGATTTTCCCCGTAATTTTTAGGAATTGTACAGTCGTTGCAAAAATGCATTTCAAAAGACAAGTATTACTTCGAAAGAATCCAAAACGTTTTTCCTGACTTAGAAAAGAATTTTTCATTTATGAATATATTCATCTAACTTTATCGTTGCATTATGTATTTCCAATTATAAAGTTTCTAACTGGGAGTATATATGTCTAAGATAAATATTTCTAAATACGCATGATTTCTCTTGCAATATATCAGCAAATTTTCAATTACCTTGTTTCTTAGAACATGGTTCAGAATATGAAAACAGTTTCGAACACCGTGAGAAATGAAATTTGGTTAAAAAAATTAAATACAAATTTTAAAACATTTTATGCGGTCTATGTAAAATAGGAATTCTAAAGTATTAGTAAAATAATGTAATCAAAATATGAAGTAAAATATGCAATGAACCTTAATTACACCGAAATAATTGACAAATTTAAGCAGAAAAAATGCAGAGTAAAACCCAATAACTAAGATTATGATAATATACATTAAGTCATTCTACTGCATAAAGCTTCGGTAAATATACAAATAGAAAGCATTTATTACATGTTTCTACGTTTGTAAGAATAATTTCTGAAAACTGTTTTTGAACTTAATATTTGTTGGTTCACAGTGGAGTAAACTTTCGCCGGATGTCCAATCATGTCTCATGATTATGATTTATCGGATTCTCTAGGTTGCCGAACAACTGGAATTTTAGAAAATTATCTAACTTAAACGACAGCAACCACCAACCATGCTGGTTTTGAAAGTTTATTAAGCTACTTTTAAAATTAATCGAAAAATTATGCAAACAGTAAAGATGAGAGAGAATAAGCTCGTTGACAAGAAAACTATCCTAAAAAGGAATCACTGCCTACCTTGAACATTTTATTTGAATCGTCGTAAAAGTGACGCTTTACAGCTATTCACATTCTCAGAAAGAATATGGCGGCTTCCATCCATATAATCTATCACCGTGTCTTTTGGAAATCCAAAACGTCTGCAAGGACATTGATATGTACGGTATCAACAAATAATCAACACAGTTTCAAGACAACTGACTATGGAGCACAGAGAGTTTATTGATGATAAATCGGGACTCCTTTCATTACAGATGATGTGTGATCGATTAATTCTTTTAATGCTTTAGTGAGAAATTCTTAAATAACTCTTCCCTTGCATAAAAAGGAGTCCCATTTGATGGGGAGAAATACTGATTAGAGAGCATTAAGTATTGGTAATAAAAACTTAAAATGATTCACTGAAAACAGGAAAACACAGAAAAGAAATTATGTGACCTGGGTAATATCTTCAGGGTCGGTGAGAGGCATTTTGCCGCCCAGTGAAGTTTCTACGGTTTCTGCTTTCCGGTACCTGCCTAGATTCTAAAGACTTTTCGCCCCTAAAATGTTCCGTCCAGTGCCTTCCCTAAATTCTAAAACTTTGTCATCCCTAAAATTTGCTGCTCAATGCATCTCGAAGTTCTAAAAATTCTGCCGCCTGGTGCAACTGCACCGGCTTTGGCGCCAGCTCTGTTTATCTACGTTTCTGTAGTCGGAAAATCTGTTGTAATAGTATCAGGTTCAATGTTCCGTCTTACTTTCTTTGGGAACATGCAAGGACCTGACTTGGAACAGAGAGCTTACTAAAGCTATGTTCAATAACTGTGGGAAGTAGACAGGATACACGAGAAGGGTATACAAAACCCTTTATTTTTCTCTCTTTACAACAATTTCCGTACTTCGGAATACAAAGACCCACTACTTTTGGTCTAAACATAAGAATATAAAAATATAACTAAACTCTAATTTGACTTTGAAATAATAAACGTGGAAGATTGGCCTTATATTAACAGGAAGCCGTATGTAGTACAGAGAACTGTTAACACTACAATACGTTTAAAATTTATCAAGAGGATTAAACCTCTGGCCTGGAAGGCAACCAGCAACTGAGTAAAACTTCTAAGGTAAGCGGCCTGCTTCGACTAACTCCTTCCTCTCTCTAGCTTGGCAAAAAGCCACAACTTAAGTACTTGGCGTTCGCCAGACAAATTTGCATAAATAAGTTAACGCTTTTAATTCTGGCCGGAAGTAGAAAATAAGAAGTGATAGTAAAGATTTAAAATAAAATAAACGTTAGTAAAACTTAAGATCCTTACATACTTCCCGCCAGAGTTAATTAGTTTGAAACTGAGGTCTAAAACGACCTTGTTGAAAACTTTTAGCTCTAGAATCTAACGCGAGGCCAATCTTTTACAAACATTTCTGACTAGAAACTAGAAATTTAAAAAAAAGAAATTTGTTTTTACAATAGCAGCTCCAAGGACACGCAATTTTTCATCTGTACTGCATCTAAACAGGAGCTTTTATTCATATCTGGTTCCTTCCAGAGATCTGGAAGGAAAACTAGTTTAATGAAATGTTACACAATGAAATGGCAAGTAACATGCATATTTATATTTCTCTTAACATTCTTATTTCATTCATGACTATTTTAATTATCTCTCCCCGTGCTCTCTGACATGTGTTGTAAAAGAACACCAAACACGAATGTGTTTATGTATACGTGTTCAACACTTCCTCCTACAATCAAAACACTAACGTGTTAAAATTCAACATACCAAGACCTCGTAACACACCCTAACCTTCAACTCTAAACCCTGAGGTACTATTCTGAAAAGTGGCTAACTCTGAAGTGTAGCGTCAGAGAGCCTAACTACATTCATTCAACCTTTAACACATATTCACCATGATTTGGTCTTTTTACAGTCACACACGAATAACAAATTTTTAACATTACTTTCACTTTTACCATATCACGGTATTTCTTAACATTTAAAATAACAGTTCACATTGTATATAAGAACATATTAACATGCCGTTAATTTTACGCATTTGAAAACATACATTAGTAGTACATTGTTAACTTCTATTCTTTTCAAAGCAAGTGCCAATTCTTCTACATTGAAATACTACATTTCAAAAAGTCTTTCAGACTAAAACTTCTTTCTTGCCAGAATGTTTTAAATAAAATTTATACAATAACTTTTACAATATTTAAGTCTTTACATATTCCTATTATACATCAACTTTAGTTTTACGCGCGAGTAATTGAAAAACATAATACCAAAATCGGTAACAACTCATTTCTCGCCTTTTTGGCGATAAAGGTAGACCTCGCATGAGGTAAAACTTCTTGAAATCTGCCACTTGCAGTAAGAATGAAAGATTAACTTAAGTTTGCAAAGTAACATAAAATTTTACTTATCTTTGTGATATTCGGACATTCCTTTTCTGAGCCCAGTCCTGGAAGGTAGTGCAGATTCTCGTTTGATTTATCCTCCTTCTTGTGCGGGCTCGCCCTTCAGTGCCTTCCTCTAGAAGCTTTCTTTTTTCTCCAGTTCGGTCACCCTTGAAGACCTTCTTTTTCGCCTCTGCCTGTGGTCTTGGCCGTTTGATGGCAGCTGGTCTTGGCGGAACCGGGAAACTTCTTTCGCGTTCCTGCTTGGACCTCGTTGCTGGCCGTTCAAATTTTCCTTGTAACTTTTCCTCCGCCGCTGGTGGCCCTTCCGCAGTTCGGCGACATTTGCTGCGGAGAGTCCTGTCGGATGAGTAGATCTTCCGTTTTACAGCCGGGTTATAGTTGCCGTCATTTCTCCTGGCTCTCTTTGCATACGTCGTGCTTCTCCCTTCTTCATTCTGGGGGTGTTCGTGAGCTCTCTTTTCTGGACGGTGGAACGGCTTCTTTTTCTTGTTACCTTTAATTTTCTCGCGGGGAAACTTTCTTTTCACTTGCTCCTGCCTCTTAATGGCTTGCCCTTGTACTTGTCGTTGTTCCACCTCTGGAGCTTGTGCCTGCCGTGCCGGATCCTGCAAAAGATCTGTAAATATTTGCATTTTATTACGATCATAGTAGGGTTTGATTTGATCAATGTTTGCGGAGCAGGTTTCACCATTCCTGGCTTTTAACACTACTACAGCGTGAGTTATTTTTTCTATGACATATGGTCCTTCAAATCGTGGAAAAAATTTGGCAGTTTTATCTTCTGGTGCTGAAGAAAGTGAATGCTTAAT